CATGCAGATCACTGAGGTGTCTTGAGGGATGGCGTTCTGCTTCTCTCCTCTGCCTCTTGTTACACTGCCAAACTCATCAAGGAACTGTAGTTTGCCCTACTGAAAACTTGCACAACGGAATCTTTTGCTTGCCCCATCTGATTTTGCCTTGGGATCTTTCCTGTAACCCATTAACTGTTCTTACTCTGAGACTGATACTAATGACTTTTTTCAGAGAAGCATTCAGTAAAGTTGCTTGTGAGCAGCTGCACCTTCCCCCTGCCCAGCTGTCTTCCCTTCTCCATGGGCAGTAGCAGCCCTGGACTTTCTTCTCGTGTCCTCCAGTTTCTCAGGTTTCTTCTGTTTGCTTTTGCAGCCTCAGAAGGTCAGCTCTGGCACCTCTGTTCTTACCCTTCTCCATTTCATTCTGTCACTTTCTTCCATGTCCATTCGTATGCATGACCTTCTTCTCACCTACAGGTCTTCAGCACCCTTCCAGGGCAGCTTCCCTACCCTTCTGCTACTTCTCTTCCTGGCCTCTGCACTGAGTGGCTTTCCTTGGCTCTGTGCTCTGCTCCCTGCCTCTGTAGGAGCAGAACTCCCCTGATCCCACCATGGGATGTTAGGGTTGAGAGTCCCAGGAGTGCTGGGAGGACATGGGTTGAGCATCTCAGGAGTTGCAGCAGTGGTGCTGTGGAGAGATGCACACCAGTTCTCAAGCTCCTTGGCATTTAAGGCATCCCTAAGCTGCACCTGGGTGTACAGAGACCAATTTACTCAGGTCTTTTGGATCCCAAGTCTGTGTTTTAAACAGACACCTAAGCTGACAAAATCCCTGTGGCTTGTATCTCCTGTGATTACAGTTTCTGCTGTCTGTCATTAGAATCACACTCCTATTTCTTCTTCTTGGTTTGTCTTCCCTCTCTTCACCCACTTATTTCCCCCCTTTATATTGCACCCCACATTTTAGCCCCATGAATTGAACTTATGTGTGTTTAGCTGGTCCATCTTCCCCACAGAGAACATGCTCCATCCCCAGGAAATAGCCCAGCTCTCCTTTTTATATTTTTCTGCTGAACAGGTTATGCTCTTCTGCAGTGTGTTATCTCTTTAGCACTCAATAGCTTACTTAAATCAGTGTTGTTTATGCCTATCACTCCTGTTCCTCCTGCTCAGCCTCATTCCTCCCCTAAAGAAGGCTTCCTCTTTCTGCTGCAGTTTTATTCCTGCAACTTTTATTCACCTCAGTCACTTCTACTCAAGCCCATTTTCTGCTTATGCTTATGTCTCTCAGGGATTTATCTCGGGGCTCTATCTTCTTCATGTCAGGCCATCAGAGCCAGCTTTACGATTCCTTGCTTGGATATAATCACTTGTCACATGGAGGTGACAAGTAGAGGTGCAGCAGAATACAGAGGTTTTGTCCCAGGAATTTCTTTGCTATGACTTGGCCAAACTGGTTCTAGATCTAGGCACTGGGCACCAAAAGGACCCTTTGCATCTACAGCTTTTATGGCTTTTCCTTCAGTCAGATTGTAGAGAAATACACCACTAAAAACCAGTGCCCTGGGCGAGGGCTCAGAGTCCTGCCTCATCTTTGCTCAGTCTGCCTGTGCCTCCGCAAAGGACATTCTTTCAGCTTCCGACCTGCAGGCATCTCCTGGTCCTCTGTTGTTTGCGATACTGCAATTTGTTGCCTTGGAAATAAGTGCTGTTTTATCCCAAACAGAGCCTACAGTTTCACAGCGCAATGAAGCAAGAGGAGCAGATGGTTTCCCCCATCTCTTCTGCTGTATTTGCCATTATCCTCATCCACAGCTGGATAGACAGGAGTCTATGATTCAGTGCAAGTATCTGTGGCCCGGCTGTATCTACCCATGTAAGCTGGGGAGCCATGTTTCTGCTGGGATGCTTTTGTGTCTAGCATCACCATCTTGGCTTCTTGCAAACAGAATTTGACCAAAAGCCTAAAATAAACAACTTCTTGCTGACTTCAGTGGTGTCTATGAGCAGCGGGCAGAAGGAAGGTTCAGCACCTGCAGTGTCAATTTCCCAGGGCTTTGTAGTATCTCTCCTTAAGCTTTCAGGCCTCTGCAAGCTCATTTCACTGTTTTATATGTTGCACTTTAGACAATATAGGCCTTGTCCTTTCTGCAGACACCGGTATTCTCCTTTTGTGCAGCTCTCCTGGGCTAAAGCTCAGCTACAGTTTGGCAGTGGCTGTGCTAGGTAGGACTTGGGAATTGGGTGAGGGATAGGTCGTCATGCAAATGTCTTTCTGTGGAAGCAGTTTTCGTAAGAACTGTTGGTACGGAGGCACAGTGGGGTCATGGCTCCAATATGCACTTGGGGAATCGAAGAGATGTGGGGACTGTATAGGACTGAGGAGCTTTTGAGGTCTGAAATGGCTGGGGGAACCAGCACTTCCAAGCCTGAGATTAATGGCTTTGCAAACAGTTCTGCTTTCATTCCTTGGTGTTATTCTTTGTGATTCAATCTGATTTGTTTGAATTCTGTTCTGAGGCTTATGTCCTACCCAGCACTTTGCTGCTTGGGTGCTGCCTTTTATTGCCAGAACAAATGGGAATGAGCAAATTTAGGCTGGAGAGTAATAGAATATTTCTTCCTTTCAGAGCAGTAGGATCCTCAAGCAGCTTTCTAGTAGGAACAGGGGTTATATAAGTGATGCTGCTAGAGTTTGTGGCTGGATTTAGTGATCCAGCGTCTCTTCCAGTTCTACCTTTTTGGAAGCCAGCTATGTTTAAAATTCACTTGAAGAAGGGAAAATTATCCTCAAGATTTGAATGCCCCAGATTAAGAATGGAAAATGGAGCAGAGGCAACTGAAAACTTTGGTTCTTGGTTCTCCTTGCCTAGCAGCAGGGAGGCTGGCTTGTGGGAAGAAGGAGAATTCCTGTAGGTCAATGTGGAGATGTGGCATGGGGAGGGCAAGGCAGAGCCCTTGGGGAGGTTGGTTGTGAGGGATGGGACAAGGAAGGAGGAGGGGCAGTGCAGTACTGGGTTATGGGGCACAGGCCGGTGGGATGTGGGAGGGAGAGGAAAGGAAGAGAGTCGCCTTTCCTGCACATACCGTATTTGCCTCTTTTGCTTATCACTGAATTTCTCCTTTCTGCAATGAGTAACTGACTAAGGCTCCTTGTGCTGCACCATTAATCTGGTGGCTTTCCATTAACAAGCAGGTGCTTGTACCCGGGGGACCACCATGCTGACTGCCAGAGATTCCTGGCACTGGCTGCTACGGAGTTAAGCAGCCAGGCTGGAGTGTGCAAACAAACATCGAGACCTGTGCTAACAGCCCTGCTTTGTGCTAGTGGGAAGCACAGGCTCCAACTTCTTCCGATTTCTCACCTGTCCAGACTGGTACAGAGGGAAAATGCCTCTTGGAGTTGCAGAGAAAACCACACCTATTTACGGTGGATTCCCCAGGGCCCTCCTGTGGGGTATTAACCCTTCAGCCCCAGGGCCCACAGTCTGCCTTTGGCATGGAGAATTCCCTGGGGAAATCAGCCCTTCTCCCTCTGGTGTAGGGGTTTCGCCTGTTTGTGGCCCAGGGCATTGGCTCATCCACTCTCTAGAGCAAGTCACAGCTTTCTCTTTCCTCCCCATCTGTACAGTTATCTCTGCCCTTTCCATAACTGTGCAATGCAGCTCTTTCTGCAGGAGCTGGGCTTCCTGACCCAGCTCCTTCCCCCAGAAAGCAGAACTTGCACTGCTGTTTCTGGGTTGGATCTGTGATCATGTCTCTGTGTTTGTCTCAGACCCCACCAAATTTCCCTGAGATACCAGCTCATCCCTCCCCCTTGAAATGTCCTTGCTCTCTTCGGGCTTCTTCCTGGTCTCACTGTTTGCTTTCCCTCTTTTCCCTGGTTTCTGAGGTTTCTCGGAAGGAATCCCGTGCTCTGGCCTCCTCAGGCTGGAGTGTTGTGTTGTTGTTTTTCCTTTCGTCGCTATGGGCAGGGATTTTGAATACTGAGCCAAGGAGAGGGAGGGAAGGATGGAGGCAGTGAAAGAAGGAGGGAGTACAAGGGGAGGGATGAAGAAAGCCAGGGAAGTGAGAAAGCAAAGTGTGCAGGGGAGCGGGATAAGGAAGAGGTGGTGGAGGAATGAAATGGGGAAGGAAGAGAGAGGGCATTATGAAGAGGAAGAGTTTTGGATAAATATCCAGGAGAGCTTTTTCATTGGTTCTTTTATTAATAACACTATTGCAGCAAACAGCAATATCCAGAGCAAGGCAGGGAACATCCCCCCCCATCTGTCTAGGACACAAGGCATGAGAGGTTATTCAAGGCAAAGAGATCCTTCAGAAAATGAACATCCAAGCCTAGAGCAGCCAGTAGGAGCACAGACTGCAGCAGGAAAAATGCTAGATGGCAGTTTGGTGGGTAAGGAGAGAATGTGAAGCACAAAGATGCAGAAAATATAGGACCTTCTTTTAGTTTGTTGGAAGCAGGAAGCCTGGGAGAGGGCTACCAGGTTTTCTGGGAACAGGGAAGAAAGTAGAGCAGCTAAGGAAGCTTGCAGCACTGCAGAGAAGCTAAGTAATTCCCATAGCAAAAGCAAAAATGGATAAACACCCCTACTAGTGCAGCTCAGCTGCTACAGACAAAGCACCCTTAGGCACTGAGAACATATAAAGGCAAAGGCTAGTGTCTCAGAAAACAACCATCCCCAGGACTGGGAACCAGCACCTAAGGATCAGAGTGTGAGGGACCAGCATCTGTGTGCAGAAATAGGGGAGGGCAGAGAGAGCCAAGGAGCTGCGGACACTGCTCTCATTTCAACCCCAGGTGAATCCATACACCCACCTGATCTGCTATGTTGCAGTGAGAAATCTGCAGCTCACTTTCCTTTGCCAAGGGAAATTCTGCTCCTGCAGCTGCTAGAAGTTTTGGAATGTTTCCTGCTGTGGGAAATAACAGCAGGACATGGATTTTCAAAAAGCTGGGAGCAGTGTCTTTCACAGGAGCATCTCCATGAGGCTAAGTGGCCAGGAGGTGATTAGTGCTGGCACTGCTGAAATACTACAAAGAAGCAGAAGCTGTAGGTCCTGAGGGCTCAGAGCAGTTCACCTCTGGGAGCCATGCAGTAATAGGATGGAAACTAATCCAGAGAATATTGTATTGCCACTGTGTGAATCTGGGATAAATCTTCAGCTGGAATATTCTTGTGTGCTTCTCATCACACTTGCTGGGGAAAATAGGGGAGATACAGGCAGATAAAGAAACTTACTAAAACGATGAAGCCTCTTCCATGTGAGCAGGGATTGCAAAGAATGCAACATACCAGTTTTCAGATGCAATAAACGGGGAAAGGATATGAATTAACTAGCACTATAACTTTTTTAGGAAAGACTATATATTTCAAAGTCTAAGCCAATGCCTAACTGACAAAGATAAGAAGGAAATTCTGCTCTGGAGAGGTTATTCCACAACTGTCCAAGACAAAAGATTATTCAGTTTAAGAATCCAGCACTGTCAAAGCTCTCACACAGCATTTGCCAGTCCTGGTATCTAATGAGTCCCGTTTTCATAAACAAGCAGCCTGGGGATCAATCAGCCTGTCAGCCTGTGTCCATTAGGGTGCTGCCGTGGCGGTGCCTGCTCTGGCCTCGGCACTGCCACCAGCCTGAACCCAGCCGTTTCCCCCAGCGACTTGGGCAATTTACCATCCTCCCAGCCCTACCGCTCATGTGATCTTTTTTATCCCTTGCCCAATTCTGCAAAATGACTGGAAGTACCTTTTTAAAAGAAAAGTCAGACTAGAAATGAGGAAGGGGTGCTTGAAGGGAACAGCTAAATCAGAACTGAGTGGAGCCTAGTGGGGATGGTGTGATGTGCAGCCAGGGGTGACTGAAGGGCTGCTGCATCTTGGCTTGCATCACCACCACCCTCCCCTGCAGGCTGAAGCTCACTCTCTCTGCAGGTAGTTACTGTACTCTGATTTACATGACTTTGAACACTGAGTTCTGTGTTGTGTCTTTCAATGGGTAGTTCTCATTGTTGACCATCAGGATTGCAGGTAATCCTAATACTGAAGGCAAAAATCAGGAAAACAGGAAGAAGATTCATGAGTATTTGGGTGGTTTAGGTGGATGAGTGACAGATGAAAAATACTGTTTCATGTAGCAAATGTCAAACGGAAAGCGTGGGAGCAAGGAGCAGGTCTGAGGAATACCGGGTAAGCAGAGCCACAGCACAACTCTCTGAGCCTTGATGGGTTGGGAATCATTAATCCTGTCTGCCTGCATGGAGAGGTGTTGCGAGAGGGAATTTTACATTTGGAAGGTCAGTGTGGCTTGATGTCTGTCAGGCACATCCCATGTGTGTTGTGCTAGTCAGCCCTGAGAGAAGTTACAGAAAGGAGATGAACTGGAGTTGCTAACATCCTGATTAGACATAGAATATTAATGTCAAGCACATGGAACTGTGTTTGGACATGCAACAGAGATATTTATGTCTAGTATATCACTGGATTTCTTGGTCTCTTGACCAAGAACGTCCCGGGGAGGTTACTGTGAACTCTCCTCCACTGATGGTGTGTGTCATCAGAAGGGTGCATATGGCAAGCAAAGGACCGTCATTGCTAGAGTCTTAAACACACTCTCAGTGCACTTGGAGGCATGGCACATTAAATGTCAGGGACCCGTCAGGAGCCTTGTCAGCCCTCTGGCTCACATTGCTGTGCCATAAGTACTGATTCTGCCTCCCCTGCCTGCCTTCAGAAGTCATGGGCCTGTCCCAGGCAGCACCCACTCCTGCTGTGAGAGGGCCACCAGACCCTCCAGAGAAGACCGTCCAGAGAAGAAGGGTGAGAAGGACAAGGATGGCTGCCATGCTGTCACATGGCAAACTGGCCTAGGCCTGAATACAGCAATGAGCTGCACAATTCATCCATGTGGAGAAGGCAGAGAAATGAGTGCTGGTGTGCAAAAGACTTGTCCCAGGGACTAAGAACAACTCCTTTGCTGTCAAACTCCTGTGCTAGTGCAGCTCTGTTTTGCTCTAGAGTTCGCTCTGTTCCTGATAACTTTCTGACCCTGTGTTGTGCTCCAGGGACTGTTTTGACCTCCATGAACCTTTGCCTTCCACACGCTTTATTTTGGAGAAAAATATTCTTATCATCCCTTTCATCTGAGGAGAAAGCCATCTTCCAAACAGCAAGGTACCCACAGCTTTCTGTGTTCTGTACGGTGGCACTTTTGCTTTTTCCTCAGCCTCTCCTGCCTCTGTTGCGGATGCTGCCATTCCCGCTTGGTTAATTTGTCTTTGTCAGCACATGTTTCCACAGCAGTGGCAAGACTGACCGTCCCTGGTAGGGCCAGCCGTGTTTACCCGACCACTCCGCATCCTTCGGCAAGCAGCCTGCTCTTGGTGACTTTTCTGTTCACTTTTACCCACTGAAGCCACAAATGCTCAATGAATTCTTATGCCTTTTCTAGCCCGAACGAAACTATCTGAAAAGTAAACAGGTTTGGTGTTTACATGAGGCAAACCCCAGCCTGGGAAAAGAACAGCTCAAGCACAGGCGGCTGCAAGACCGAGGAAAATTCCCCTGTGAGACAAGAGTTCCCAACTCAAGAAGGAGTGATGCAAGTTTGTCCCTTTAAACATGTGCGTAAGCACTGTGCTGAACAAAGATGCTTCCCTGGAACTAGTCCTTCAACAGTTAAGTGAAACAAGTCCCAGTTAGGACTAGCTTGGATTATCATAAGAATGGAGGCTCAGCTGAAGGGCAGGATTCAGCTCCACCTTCTCCTCCCTGCTTCCTGACCTTCTTCCACACATTCTTGGGTACACAGCTTTGGAATCAGTGCACTGCAAACATGCTGCAAGTGCTGGTCATGTACAGACTGGTAGGTGTGGGGTCCCTGCTGCTGTTCCATGAGGGCTGGCTGGGGGCGAGAGCACCCATGAAAAGCACCCTTGAAATGCTTGAGGCTGGGGCTGTAGATGTCTATGTTGCAGTGAAATGTCCCAGCTCTTTTCATTAGAGAAAAGGAAATGAAAAAGAGGAAAAGAGTGGAAGAGAGCGCAGAGAGCTTGCTTTCTTCCAGCCCCCAGAGGATAAGGGGAAATGGCAGTTTCCCACCTTCCCCAGGGCAGGGAAGGGCTGCAGGAGGAGCCTCTTGCTGGACTGAACCTTGCTCAGCCAGGTCATTAGCCTCCTCTGAAATCCCCTTGGTTTTCCCTCTCCTTTTCCTCAGGACCAAGCAGCTGAGAGGGAGCTGCCATACCCTGAGGGCAACTTGTGTGAACTGCTGGAGAGAGATTGTTTGTCAACCACATTGGGATCCCTCCAGCTTAAGGCACTGGAAAAGTCTGTTCTATCTGATACAGGAGGGTAGAGGAATGCACATGGGAAGAATACATCTCAGCTTGCACTTCTCCCTTCCCCCCAGGATGAGGTGCCAAGATTAAAGAAATATTGGGGTTTTCCGCAAAGGTGTATAGAAAGTATTCTGCCTTTCTGAAAACAAAAAGGTAATAGAACAATAGCATGAGGCTTTGAGCAGCCTGGTCTTGTGGAAGGTGCCCCTGCCCCTGGCATGGGGTTGGAATGCGATGATCTTTAAGGTCCCTTCCAACCTAAAACATTCTATGATTCTATGAGAGTAGGAATGAGGGTGCATATGCAGTGTCCTGCCGAATCAGGTTGTTACCTATTTCTGTAGGACAGCTTGGGCAAAGTTTATCCTATATTAAATGCAGCATTCCTGGTCCCCTGTTCCAGCACCCCAACTGAATTTTCTTTCTCTTGCTGAGGCACAGATGAAGAGGACAAGGCTGGAAGTGCTGGTGGTGAGACCTTGCAGATGATAAATCCTCCATGGTGAAAAGAAATTAAATTGATGAATGTGGAAAAGACACCCTGACTGACAAGCCAGAAGGAGAACAGGGTAGGGTAAATGGTGCCTCTGTGCAGCTGGGTGGGTGAGGAGGGTCAGTCAAAGAGATCACAGTGTTGCTCAGCTCCATGACAGACTCCTCTTGTCTGTAATGACCTGTCCACAGAGCCCAGGGACACAAAGGTCTCAGGAATTTGCTGGTTGTGTCTCCTCGCTGTGGTTCACCCTCTTTGGGAGACATGTCTTGTATCTTTCCCCATTTCCCTGGGCACAGGCTCAGGAAAAGGGAGCTGAGTAGTGCTGCTCAGCCCGGAAGTTTTGCTGGCCACTCTAGTATCTTTTCTTTCCAAAGCAGCATCTCTGTCCTGCAGTGCTTTAGGAGCAACAGCCCTAGGGCATCTAGTACCTGTGTAGTAGTACGCAGTGAGGCCCTGCGGCTGTGCAGAGCTTTGTTTCCTGGAACAGTTCTGCACATGCAGGTGAAAAGAGGCCAATGTTAGAGACAAAGAGGAAGGAGACAGTTCAAATCCATGCAAATAAGTTATTAGGAAGGCTCCAGCCTGCCACCTGCTCCCCCATCTCCACCTGACCTCATGGTGCTAGAGCACAGGACACCGTAAGTGTGCCTGTGCCTAGGGCAGTGCGCCTCCTGGGGTGTCCCTCCGGGGGCGTCTCAGTGATGATAAAGGAAGAAGACCAAAGCAGCTGGGCAGGGGAGCCTTGAACCCCTCTGCTTCCTCTTGGCTCCTCTCCATCCCAGTCTAAATGCTGGTGGAGCTGGGGCTGACAGCCCTTGGCCCGTGTACAGGACAGACAGCATCGTGTGGGGCATGAGCCAGCCGGGCTGGGGTATGATGAGATGGGAAGGAGCTCGCTTCACACGGGACTTCGGAGTTGCCCTGCAGGCCTCCCTGCCCCCGTGTTTTTGCTGCCCTGGGGAGGCAGGGTTAGTGCTGGGGAGCACGGCCACTCTCTCTGGACCCTGGCCTTCTTGTTCCCAGGCACAGGACTGAGAAGCAGAGCCTCCGCACAGAGCCTGTCCCTGCGGACTGGGCCGGGCGTGACTGCGGCGGCACCGGGACGGGTTGCGGGGCTGGAAGGCTGACAGCGAGGTGGAGCACACGCGGTCAGGGGGTGCGAGTTGCCGGAGCGCCGTGGTGCAGAGGGGCCAGAGGGCACCGGGAGTGCCGTGGGGTGCTCGAGGGCACAGGGGTACCAAGGAGTGGCGGGTGTGGAGTCCCGAAGTGAGGGCTGCGGGATGCTGGGCTGCGGGGTGAGGGATGCCGGGGTGCCGGTCCCCCGGCTGGTCCCACCCTTGTGCGGCGCTCCCCGCCCCGCGGCCCCGCTCCCCCGCCCTCCCTGACGTGTGGCGCTGGCAGCCCGGCCGGTTCCGCATTCCCGACCCCTCCCCGCAGCCCAGGGGCCGCTATATAACCGGGGCTGATGCAACCCACCCCGCCGCCTGCCACAGCCCGCGGGAGGCGCGCACCGGGGCGGCGGGGGGCGGCGGCGGCGGCCCGAGGCGCCCCGGCGGCAGCCGGCACCGACATCGACATCGGCACCCGGCGGGGCCCGGGGGTCGGGGCAGCGCCGCGCAGCCGGGCGGCGGAGGCAGTGGGGCTGAGCCTCAAGCCCGCGCCCTGCCCCTGCGTGCGGCCGGGCCCCGCGGGCACCCCGGCAGCCCGGTCCCTCTGTACGGTGGGTGCGGGCGCGGCAGAAGGGGAGAGCGCCGGGCGGGCCGGGACTGCGGCAGGGGCGGGAGAGGCGGCTGGGGTTGCCCGGAGGAGCAGCCCGGCACTCCGCGGCGGCGGGCAGGGTGCTGCCCTCCGGGCGGCCACGGGATCCGGCTACCCGCGGGCGGGCGCTCCGCGGCAGCGGCCAGAGCCGCACAGGCGGCCCGGAGCGGCGCGGCTGTCCCCACAGACACCTACGCGCTGGGTCGGAACTGCCCCCGGGGGGGTGCCGGGCAGCTGTCCCGCTTGGGCCTGCCGCAGGGGCGGCGGCAGCGGCCTCGCCAGGTGCCCTCCTTGTCCCCGCTTCACCTGTCGTGTGGGGCGCAGGTGGGGGGCCTGGGCTGCCTCCCCCCTGAGTCGTGCCGTGGTGCGTGGAGGGCGGCGTTGCTGGCCTCCCTCCTACCTGCGGGGCCCCGGGAAGGAGAGGCGCTCGGTCCCAAGTCCGCTTTAGCAGTCAGGCATGGAGTTGAATGGAAGTTGCATTCTTTTGCAAGGTCTGCTCCAGGAGGCACTTTTCTTTTTCCATGGGAGGGAAATAGGTTTGAGAGCAAATTGGGGGAAAGGGAGAAATACCAGAAGAGCAAGAGCCACATTATGTTTCCATTTTCCTTTAATGAAGGCCCTGTGGAGGTGTATTTGAAAACACAGGGTCTCCTATGCCTTCAAGGAGGGTGAGAACACAGTGCTGGCTGGTTCCAGGGCCATATGCAGCGTATGGTGGCCAATGAAACGGGGCCTGGCTCGTTCTCTTGCTTGTCTTGGCAGCCTGCTTCATGGCTTGCATTACCAGCCCTGGAACACAACCACTGCCAAACTGTGTGTGTGTGCGTGTATGCGTGTGTTTGGACTCCAAGAGCTCAGCAGAACAAATGCTTCTGCAGCTTACACCAGGACTTTTTAGCTAGTTTAGAGAAAACTTGCAGGCAGTTTTCAGTGTCTACACTGGGAATTCGCTGGTGAGTTCTTGTATGGGGACATCTGGGAATGCCAGTCACTGGAGTTCAGATTCTTAGTACTCCTTCTCATTTAATCCAGCAAAAACCTGCCCGTGTGGGGGATGAGCGTGTGGGAGTGGGAGCACCATCCAAACCATCCCTGTGTTAAGTGGCAATTGCTTGTCCCAGGCTCCTGGGGTCTGGGGGATTAACAAGACCTGCTGAGGGTTAACATGCAGGTTGCTGTCTCCTCTCTGAGGTATCAATGGATGCTTCTCCTTCCTCTTCATGGCTGAGCGTTGAGCGTTTCCCTCCTTACAGGATGCAGAGGTTTCTGTGCTGCAGTCCTTGTCAAGGAAGAGTAGATGCTTCCTCACACCTCTTGCCTGCTCCTGTCTTCTCTGTCTGGGCAGTGTGTCCAACTAAGCTCCTGAAGGAAGCATGGGCAGCACAGTGTGAGCTCTATGGACTCCTTTCCCATGCTCATGTTTGCTGCTTCAGCTGCATTGCCTGGGCCAGATACTTGACAGCATGCAGTGCCTTGCGTGTGAAGCTGTTGAGAGGCTCTTTTCACCGCAGTGGGCTGTTTCTGGTGGAGCTGGCTCCAAGAGCGAGGGAGACAGAGCCATGGTGTGTGGCATGGACCCCTTGCCAGCCTGCATGTGTCCTGCAGTGACATTCATGTGTCCTGCTGCAAGCAGAGGGCACAGCAAACCTGGTGACATTTGTCTATGGCTGTTCGCATGGATTTCTTGATTGATTGGACTGTTCAGAGTATCAGTCCAACCACTGCTATTTTAACATGCTGCCAGGGAGCTGAAGGTCCATCTGAGCCTCTCAGCTGAGCAGGGCTGTTGCAGACTAGCCAGAGCTGGTCTTTGTATGGTCTTTGCGGATGACCCTGGCATCTGGGGCATGATTTTGAGGTGTTTGTAAGGGGGAGACTCTCATCTCTGAGGCCATCCTTGGCCCCTGAGGGCAGAGCTCTGTGCTCTCACATCTTCTTGAAGAAGATTCCAGCCATGACCATGTGTGGTCATGGAAGGTCCTGAGGGATTTCAACAACTCCATCACTAACCTCAGTGTCTGAGCTGCAGCCTAGCTCAAGATCAGGATAGTCCTTCATCCTCAAATCCCTTTTGAGCTGCTTCAGGTAGAAACAGAAGGTTTTACCTTCCTGCTCTGTACCGCCGTCCGGTGTGTGGTGCAGCATTATTAAATGTTTGCTACAAGTAATTAATTGCAGTCTCTAATAACAATACTGTGATAATTAATTGCAATATTTTGCAGCTATTGCAATTAACTGTTGCAGTAGAGGAGCCTTGCCATGCTGGGTGCTGCACAAAACCCTGCTGTCACAGGTTGCTTACAAGTCAGTCGCTGCATTGCAGTGGTGGGGGCAGTGTAATGCTGATCTAGAGCTTTGCACTAGGTATGGAGGAAAACATTCAGGGGAAAAGGAGGTCTGTGAGGTGACTGCTTTGCTAATGGGAAGAGGGGCATTACTTCTAAAGCTGAGGACTGGAGGACCAGTATTACCTTTCCTTGTAATGGGGATAAGGAGTCAAAGCATCAGACGGGCAGGTATGGGGCCTGATGGTAGGAATCAGCTATGGGGGGCTGCAGAACTGCACTTCTGCTGAGGAGAGGCTGTCTGCCCTGTGGGTACAGTGTAGGGAGCTTTGTGCCTCCCTGATGGATAAGAGGAGGGAGGCAGCAAGATGCTCTGTGTTCCTGTTTTCAGAAAGCTTTTCATAGCCTTCTGTCTGTAAATGACTTGCACATTCCTCCTGCCATCTGCGTGAAACTAGATGTACAGGACTGAGCCAGACTGCTCCCACTCATGAAATCGGTTTAGACTTCCATTTCATAAGGAACTGTCCTTCACAGCTCCTTCCTCTCTTTAGCATTTGGTCCTGAAGCCCACTCACTGGAGCTTGGGAGTTTGGGATGGGACATTACATGTCTGGTGTTCACAAACCTTGCAGCTCTTCTCCCACCATGTGGGGTTGCCTGTGGGACAAAGGGCAGCAGCTGGGGGTGTCTGGGAAGGGCGCAGATGCTTCTTTGGCCTTGCACACCCTGGGACTGATTGCAGGAGCTGTCTTTCCCTCTTGGGATGGAAATGGAGTGTGGAGGTGGTGAGGTACGATGGTGTCTAGCATACTGAGATGACATGCTGCAGCTCACTGCACTTGGTAAGCCATGCCGTGACTGTGCCTTAAACTGGTCTTTAAATAGAGGGGAATCTCTCTGATGCCATAAAACACTAAAGTTAAGTCCCTGGTAAAGAGAGGGCATGCACAGTTTTATCCCAGGGGGTGTCACTGCAGCTTTTCAGTACACTACAGGTGATGGGTTCCTTGGCATCACAGCTTCAGCAGGTGAATGAATGAATGTACAGTGGCAGTTGTTAAAGTCCATGTTTGCCAGCACTACTGCATGGATATCTGAAAAGACTGCTTACAACCAAAGGGCTTGGCTGCAGCTGTGCTCTGGTGGTTGGCAAGTAACTTTGATACTGATCAGTGTGGTCTTTGGTGTTGGCACTGCAAGTCACTGCAAGTCACTGCTTTTGACAATGCAGACCAGAAGCAGCCAAACAGGAGACAGGGCTACCTGCTGTAAGTTATAACAAAACTGTATGCGTCAGATGCATCTAGACCAGACAGCAGTTGTGTGGGAATGGAAGAGTATTGCATTTTAGACAACAGCAAAAACCTGTAATTGCACGGCTAGATACTTGTGGCACTGAGAATATGGGGTAGTGGCTTTCTGCCTTCAACTTCATTGTGCTTAACTTGGCATTCACTGGGGGCTGAAGCTTGAAGTTGAAGAAGGTCTGTAGGCTCCAGTGACCCCCAGCACCCTGTAGCCTCCCCAGCCAGAAGAGTCCAGATGGAAAAAAAAGCAGTGGCTCTGTGCTTCAGAGAAGAAGTGATAGCCAACTGCCCTGTCTTTGTTAGGGAAGTTACATTCTTCGGACATGAGAAGTTGGGCATGTCAGGAAAGGGTTTTCATGCAAATCATCCTTCTGCCAACAGAAGGAACTAGAAAGGTGCAATGTATGACATACAGGCTGAGCAAACTTGATAGCCAGCAGCTAAAAAAATAAAAACTTACAATAAAGCCTCAGTAAAATCTAAGGAACTGTAAGTTGCTTTTCAAGTAGCACTACTTCTGATCTCCACAGCAGAGTTACTGTGTGTTGGCCGGGAGCAGATGAAAGGCCAGTTGCTGTGACTTAGGTGCTCCAAGACAGTACATACAAATGGCAACAGTATGTTAAGTGCTAACATGCTAATGAAGAGATCAAAGATAGTTTGTATGGTGGCTCGCAGATTTTGGCAGTGCTCTGATGCATGGCAGCTGACAAGTAATGGCAGGCACCCCAGTTGAGCCTTGAGTGACAGCACAACAGGCAAGCACAGAGAAGGGCTGGTAGGACCATGTTAGTGCAGAGCTTAACGCGGGCAAGATAGAAACATGGTGGTATTTACAGAGTGTCAGAATCTGCTAGCTGGCAATATTAGGTGCTAGACTAGCTCTCTGAGCATTGGAAGAGCACTTGGATCAACCATTGCAGATGTCAGACCATGTAAAATAGCTTCTGTTGGAAGAAACTGTGATTTATAGACAGCAAGACTGAAAATAAGGTTGCAAACAGCCCTGATTCTTGCCAAGGAAGCTGACAACAGAGATAAGGCAGTAATGGCAATTTAAATTGAAATGTGACTGTTGGAGCCTGCTTTGGGATATTGTGGTCCTCTCTGCTGTCAGTGCAGCAGGAGCATCTGCATTGGATTTATAAAGAAGCAAACAGCACCTCTGGATAAGTGAGGATGAATAGAATGGTCAAGGGGGAACAGTGGATACAAACTAAGGCAGTTTCTGCACAGGGAAATGAACGTAAAATTTCAACACGAGTAGGCATTCCTGTGCCTGTTTTAGTCTGTGGGTAAGAATAGCACTGAAGAGGAGTCAGGAGGGGTGTGAATATAGGTTAGCAACTGGAGTACAAGCCCCCAGGGACACAGGATTGCGTGGATTATGCCTACGCATGTTAGCTTTATGCCATAACTGCTATGCAAACATCAGCTCCTTAAAACAAAAAAAAAACAACCAAAAAAAAACCCAAACACCCCTCCTCTCAACCCCACTCACTCCCCCTCCCCCCACCCAAAAAAAAGAGTCCGCAGAAAAAGCAGCAGCAAAATCAGTGAGGGGAGGGAAACCAAACCAAACCACCCCAAAACTCTGGCAGATGAAGATTAGAACTGCAGGAGAAAGAATAGGAGGATTCTGTGATACACAGGGACAGTGTCACTGAGGAAGCTGAGCAAGTGTATGGGACAGTAACAACTTGGTAAAGCTGCTTCTCAGTTTGTTGTTGGCTCCAGAAGATAACAGACCCTGGCAATAGGAGAAAAGCTGAGTAATGGGCGCTGCCTTTAAGAAATATTAAATCAACCAGCGTAGCAGACTGTTGACCATAAGGATGTAAGTGGGGGACAAAGCACCGAAATGCTGCTGCTGGGAAAGATGCAGCAAAGCAAAGGTGAGCAGAGAAAGCTGAACTGTTGTCAGCTTTGTGTGGATGAGACAGTTGATAAAATAACTGAGCTGACCAATACCACAACAAGAACAAAGCAAGGATGCAAAAGTGACTGTAATAATTAGGGAGTTTACAGACATATTGGCAAGAGGTCAAGTCTTGTGTTACAGCATGTTAACCAGAACAAGGGGAGTGTAGAGGCAAAGCTGAAGAAATACAAACTGAATTTTGACCCATGAAATCACGTGCTGACCAGACCTTTGCTGCAAGGATAGTTGCTGAAGAGAGCACTGAATGACACAAGCTGCTCATTACTGAGCTGAAGTTTTAAGAAAGCCTTCTCTGTCTTCTAATTCGCTCTGGAGCATCTTGATGTCATGGCACGAAATGATGAATAGCATCAGTGCAGAAGGCACAGCTACGGTGAATGTAAACTCAAGCAGATGGTGTCACACAGATCCCAGTGTCATATATATGGCTGCACATTCTCTTTCTCCTTGCTGCTTTGCTTTGCTGTTAGCTTCATTATGTGAAAAAAGCATAGCTGATACAAGGCAGGAATTGTGTGGTTCAGCTGCAGGACACCACAAGCTAGGTTTTACTGAAGATACTTTTCTTAGCTCATGTAAGGAGATGTTGAAAGGCTGCCTGGCAATGTGGAATAAAAGACTGCGTTAATAACCAGTTCTGAAAAGAAAAAATCTAGTAAGAATCCCAGCTAAAGCACTGTTAGAAAGTGAAGGAATACAGAGTTGAGTTGGTTCATGTGCCTTAGAAATAACAAACACCGCACTGGAATATCCAGAAAGGAATTAGGACTTGGCAAGGCACCAGCCTTATTCACCCCATCCAGCAAGATGTGGCTGTTGAAAAACAGAAACTTAAGGGTCGAACTCACATCTTGAACTTCAGTGTTATTTCTCTTCTACCATGCAAATGTGGTAGAAATATGCTAGAGCTATAGGCAGGCATGTCAATGTCTTTCAGGGTAGTGGCCTCAGGAAAAAGACTGAAGTATTAAATAGAATTACATGCACTGGCTTTTTACATGATCAAAGTACAACTTTTTACCTCTAGCATTAACCAGAAAAGAAGGTGAAAGTACCTGGGACTTTGGATGACAGGAAAGCCTCTCTTACAGGAGGGAGAGGCAAAAAGAGGCTCTGACTAGCAGAGAGTGACAGTGCCTGGGGCTGAGGGGCACTGCAGGCTGGGTGGGATGATCTATCACTGCACCCCTGCTCTGCAGAGAGGGACAGCATCTCCTCTTTCTATTCTTTTCCCCATGGTTATAGTCCTGCTGGGAATGGTTTTATGTTCCTCTCTGAGGTCTATCTCAGCTTGACTCTTGGCAGTCCTTAAGTGCTCCAGAGCTTCCTGACCCCCTAAGCAAGATACATCTTGCAGAAGTCACTGGCCCCCTTCCCATATACTTCTCAGCTCATCTTAATGTTTGGGTTCATGTTCTTCCAGGTGACTCCCGGTGCTGTGGTTTGAACAGCTTTAGATTGAGTTTACACTGATGCAGGTGTGATGTGGGCTTTGGCAGTGCAGTCCCTACATCCAGGATTAATTTTTAGAGCATGTTAGGTACTGGGCCAGCTCCTTCACTCTGACCTGCACCTAATGTCACGCTGGTATGGATGCTATTTCAGGGCATAGTAAGCTACCAGATAAAAGAGGCGGAGGGGAAAGGTGGACCAGAGAAAACATAATGTTTTCTCAACTCTGTAGCCAGTTGTCCATGGGAAACTGCCCCAGGCTCAGGGATGCAGGCAGTCCCACGATATGGAGAACAGATTTCTCCTCCTTCATTGTTTCACAAATTGGAGTGACTTGAACTTTGTCTAGCTGAGGGCTTGGACTGTCCAGCCCAGGGCCCGAGTGCTGTCAGCTGCATGTTGGGATAGAAGACAACAAATGAAAACCAGGTCCCCAAGTCCGGAATGGATTTAGGCATCCAGAGCAGGGCTCAAGTCAGTCAGTTCCCAGCCCAAAGCCTGTGAAAGGGTGGGCCAGGGCCCCAAATCAGTGTGTGCCGTAGCAGCTCATACATGGTATTTGCAGAAGGGGGACTTAAGCCCAAGCTGCTCAAGTTGGGGATGGACATCTTGTACTGACACCTGGACCTCTTCAGTGGCAGATTAGAGCATATGACAGCTCACAGCACATTGCAGCCTGTAGGTGCTCTTTGATGCAAATCCTCTCGTCTGTCATGCCAGTAGGGCTTGCACAGCACCTATGCTGGACGCTGTGGGGCTTGCATAAGCCTTTCTACGCTTGACTAACCTGTGTGATTGGCTTTCCTTCCCTTCTGCAGCTCATCTGCTCTTCCTTAGCATTAGCAAACATACCAAATGATCTCCTGGGTAGAGATGTGCCAACACCAAGAAATCCTTAACTTCCCTTCTTACCGTGATTAACCCTGTTTGACCTCCTCCCACTGACCCTGCTTGGGCAGGAGGGTTGGACCAGGTCCCTCCCCACCTCAACTGTTCTGTAACTCTGTGACCCAGCAGTCCTATCTTGCATGCAGCTTTACTCAAGTTTTCAGCCTGATACTGACATCAACTTGTCACCCCAGGATGGGAAGTGCTGAGCAACTGTGGCAGTTGGCTTGACAATGTGTGTGTGTGCCTCAGCTTAGCACAGCTCCCCTGCCTGGACCAAATGTCTGCATTGCCTGTTACCTGGTCTCTCAGCAGCTGAGAGTGGATGGTTTGGAAAGAGGAGGGCAAGGGTATGTTATCCCCTGCTTAATGCACATCCTCACTCTGGCAGTCTGTGCTCTCAGAGCTTCCAGGTGTTTGTGCAGACTAGTGTGACTGATGGTCCTTTGTGGACCCCTCTTCCATAAGAAGCCGCTCAGTGAGATCTTGGATCCCCTTCACTGGCCTGTTTCTCACTCCAGACATCACTGGTCCCTGTCTGCTGACTGGGTGCCTCCTGGCACAGGGGCAGGATGGGGTGAATGCCTGGAGGCTCCTGGAAGGTGCTGGGACTGGCCTGTCTGGGCAGAACAAGGAGAGCAGTGCACAAGCACTGGGACAGATTGAGTTGAGTAGGGGGAAAAATGATTATTGTGTAAATGGAAGTAACTGGGTCACTTGTGAGTGTCCCAGGCCATTTAGACAGGTAGGGATGTACTTGGGCTGTAGCAACCACCCACCTGCTCCCTTTGTTTTTTTTGCTGGTAAAACAGTTCCAGCTTTATAGGCTTCCCATTTTAGCTAAAATTTTATTTCTTTATCTCTTAACCACTTGTTTTTCACGTTTCTGGTCACTCCCTTTCTTCTGCCTATGAGTGACTTTGCCAAGGTTTGTCCTGATCCTATTCTTGCTGGCACTGCATTTTTTTTCTTTCCTGATAGAAGGAGTCTTTTGCACCTTGCTCCGTTTCTCCTCCCCTTCAGTCTTTGCTTTCTCATGTCTGTGCTGGGAGATGTTTGTTCTGTGGCAGGTTTCCCTCTTGCGGTTTTATCCCTGGTACCTGTGTGCTCTGTCCCAGCCCTGACCAGTGGTCTGAGCCTGTCCAGAAGAAACCCAGCCTAAGGCATATTATGGTCCTCTTTGTGCCATTTTCTTCCTGTCCTGATAACCTACGCATTAAGTGGAACTCAAGAGCAAACCTTGGTCTTCTGCACTCCAGAGAAAGGTGTACAAAAAACAGCCCATGGGACCACTGCTGTAGCCAGCTCCTGCTTCTGGTGCTTTGCCACTCAGATCTTTTCCCTTCCTGATGTATGCACCAGTAGTGTATCCTTCCTAGCAGGATTCATGTAGTTTGGTTTCTGTCACACGGGTTTTGCTTAGTCCTTGCCTTTGCTATCACTAGGAAGGGGTGGCTGGGTTTTTTGGGTGATGGGACTGCAGAATAAATTTGATTTGCTATGCATTGTGAGGTCCTGTAGCTGGGTTGTAACAGGCCATGTCTCACTCTCCCTCCAGCCTACAGAGCTGTTTCCCCTGCTATGATGCCAGGGCAGATCCCTGACCCGTCCCTGACGGCTGGTGCGCTGCCTGGGCTCGGCCCCTTGACAGGACTGCCTGGCACAGCCCTGACTGCTGAGGAGCTGAAGTGCGCTGACATCCGCAACATCGGGGCCATGATCTCACCACTCCACTTCCTGGAGGTGAAGCTTGGAAAGAGACCCCAGCCTGTGAAAAGTGAGGTAAGTCTTGGGGCTGCTGGCTGCAGATGACCCTGAGGGGCCATTGCCTTCACCTGCCTGGCTTTCTCTCCTGCCTGTGCCCCAAGCACAGGGTGCTTTCCTGCCAGGGTGGCCAGCAATGTGTTTTATAAGCATGTCGTGCTGCCTGTTTGGTGATGTGCACATGTGTTGATCGCTGCTCCATGAACTGCCTCTTCCCTGTGCCTGAATCTGTGTCCCTGCTGCATGGGCTGGGAGTGGTGGTCTCAGTGTCCCAGACCTGTCTGGTCCCATGCAGCTATTGGCAACCAGCTGAACAAAAAGCCTGCTTGTGGAGCCTGGTGCAGCTGGCATGGTCCTAAGTTGGGGCGCACACCCAAAGGAGAAGCCATGCAGCCTGTCAGAAGATTTAGAATCATAGAATGATATAACAGGGTTGGAACGGATCTTAAGATCATCTACTTCCAACCCCCCTGCCATGGGCAGGGACACCTCACACTAAACCATGTCACCCAAGGCTCTGTCCAACCAGGACTTGAGCACCACCAGGGATGGAGCATTCACAACTTCTCTGGGCAACCCATTCCAGTGCCTCACCACCCTAACAGTAAAGAATTTCTTCCTTATATCCAATCTAAACTTCCCCTGTTTAAGTTTTAACCCGTTACCCCTTGTCCTATCACTACAGTCCCTAAAGAAGAGTCCCTCCCCATCATCCCTGTAGGCCCCCTTCAGATACTGGAAGGCTGCTATGAGGTCTCCATGCAGCCTTCTCTTCTCCAGGCTGAACAGCCCCAACTTCCTCAGCCTGTCTTTATATGGGAGGTGCTCCAGTCCCCTGATCATCCTCGTGGCCCTCCTCTGGACTTGTTCCAACAGTTCCATGTCCTTTTTATGTTGAGGACACCAGAACTGTACACCATACTCCAAGTGAGGTCTCATCATTTGATGAAAGCATCATTTGCATGATGCTTTCATCCCACCTCAAGCCCTTGGTGCTGCTGGTGTTGGCGTTGCCTTTTCTGTGAGGACAAGGTGTGTGTGTGAGTGCTGTTGAGCAGCAGCAGTAACCCTGCCCTGCTGCTTTCCTCCTGGGATGGGGCAGGTGGCAGCTTCTGCTTGGTACCACAGGCTGGCATGTCAGAATCAGGCTGCAGGGACTTGGGAGACACTTGCACAGCATTATCCTTGTGTGGTTGTCTCATGTGTTGGTTGTCCAGTCCTTGACTCCTTGACCCTTGCTGTACTGGTGGTGAATGTTTGCACCTTGTACTGCTTGCAGGCAGAGCTGGGAACCCATCAGTTCAGAGACCCCGTGGTGGTGAGGGTAGTGGCTGCTGTAAGGTCTGATAAACAACTCTTCTGAACAGTGCATTTGCTGCTGTGGATACCTCAGGTGATGCCATGTGAGGATGCGGCGATGTGCATCCTCTAGAGAAGTCTGTGAGGCAGTGATAGATGATGTGAAAAACTGTGATGAGCTGTGAGCTGAAGGGGGTAAAACATCAGGTCCAGGGAGCAGCCTGATCTCTAAATGGTGCTGACACGTGATTTGACCTAACATTTATGGCAAAAGCTCAGCAGCACCCAGGCCCACCTGTGGGGAGGGTGCCTGTTCCTTACCTCCAGCCCCTTGCAGTGGACACCTCCAGGGAGAGCTAGTAAGCTGGAGTCCATCTGCTAGCCTTGCATAGGTGCTTTGTGCCCAAGGGGGTGTCCAATCAGCTTGTGCAGCTTCCCATGGAGATCACCTGGAGAAGGATTGAGCAGTTCTGCAATGTCAAGAGCTGAGGCAAAGATGCTGTGGGAAGGCATCGGAAGGGCCTGGGGTATGCTAGTGGCTTTGGTCTCTCTATGGCAAAGCACTCATGGGTCGGCAACTGAAGCCAAATGCTGTCCCAAGCTCTCAGCCTGGGTATCCTACAGCAAATGCGGTTCAATGCCCATCTTGCTTCATGGCTTGGGGAAGAAAGAGGAAGTATGTAATTGTGCTGTTTTCCCAGTCACAGCTCCTTTCTTGGGTGTCTCAGGCACCTCTGAGCTGGCCCTATAACAGCTGCTTTTGTTCTGTAGGCATAGAATCATAGAATAGTTAGGGTTGGAAAGGACCTTAAGATCAAGTTCCAACCCCCCTGCTGTGGGCAGGGACACCTTACGCTACATCATATCACCCAAGGCCTCGTCCAACCTGGTCTTGAGCACTGCCAGGGATGGAGCATTCACAACCTCCCTGGGCAACCCATTCCAGTGCCTCACCACCCTAACAGGAAAGAATTCCTCCTTATATCCAATCTAAACTTCCCCTGTTTAAGTTTTAACCCATTACCCCTTGTCCTGTCACTACAGTCTTTAATGAAGAGTCCCTCCCCAGCATCCCTATAGGCCCCCTTCAGATACTGGAAGGCTGCTATGAGGTCTCCATGCAGCCTTCTCCAGGCTGAACAGCCCCAACTTCCTCAGCCTGTCTTCATAAGGGAGGTGCTTCAGTCCCCTGATCATCCTCGTGGCCCTTCTCTGGACTTTTCCAACAGTTCCATGTCCTTTTTATGTTGAGGACACCAGAACTGCACACAATACTCCAGTTGAGGTCTCACAAGAGCAGAGCAGAGGGGCAGGATCACCTCCTTCAAGCTGCTGTTCACGCTCCTTTTGATGCAGCCCAGGATACGGTTGCCTTTCTGGGCAGCAGGCGCACACTGCCGGCCCATGTTCATTTTCTCATCAACCAGCACCCCCAAGTCCTTCTCCGCAGGGCTGCTCTGAATCTCAAGATTCATGGGATGTAGTCTCATTGGCCTCTATGCAGCAGGGACAGGGCATGTGGGGTGAAGATAGGGGAAAGTCCACTGACAGCCCCCACGTAGCCACTGTCCTTGCAGGCAGTTCCTCCCCTGCATATCTTGTGGAGCTGAGAACAGCAAATGGAGCTGCCTCTGGCACAGGCTTTGCAGTGAAAGCCTTTGGGAGCTGAAGCAGTAGCTGCTTATCCCATGAGCAGCCAAGAAGCTGCCCACGCATGATTTTGCAATGCAGCCTGCGGCTGCTTTCCTCTAGCCAGAGCCAATGGACTCTGGGTACCAGCATGTCATGCTCTGTGCAGCGCCTGCAAGCTGGGGCACGGGCAGCTTCCTCTGCTGTACTGGGGGGACCAGCACCTTCTGGCACTGAGGTGTTTGTCCCTGGGACTGCACACAAAACCCACCTCGCAGGGTGATGGGCATCCCCATTGCGCAGGTTGCCTTTCTCTTGGGGCAGCTGTTGACAAGTGCTGCCGGGCTCCTCAGGCTGGTGATCAACTTGGTTCCTGGTGCTGCTGACTGAAGCAAGTCTGGGTCAACCCCAGACCTGCAGGGCTCCCCTGGAGATCAGCTACTGAAACATGCTGTGGGGTGATACACCATCACTGTCTCACATACAGTAGAGTCCTAACCCCCAGCACCAGGGTCATCTAATGTTTTTGAACTGAAATCAAACAGAAGCAAAGAGGGGGAAAACTGCTTGAAGTTATAGGAGCTATGGTCAGAAACAGAGCCAAGAGCTCAAGCTGCCACTGTCTGTGCTGAGCTACCCTCCTTGAGCATCTGTACCCAGTCTAAAGGACATGGCCCTTTGCTGGGCCCTCTGTGGGGTGGAGGGGAAGCTGAAGGGGCAGCGAAAGGTCACTTTGATTCTTACTGAATGGAGCAACTGGGCATGGAAGTGTTCTCAGGGATACTGTGGGGCCTGGGCAGTTGCTGTTGGCTCTTCCAGTTCCTGTTTTACAACCCCAGCGGTACTTTGCAGGAAAGTTTGGGCTGCGTGTATTGAGCTTTGGAGTTCTGAGCACATGTCCTCTCTCTGCACCCTGCTAATAAGCCTTGAACTAAAAGGCCAAGAAGCTATCCAAGGGGTAGATGAGTGGAGGGGAATGGTGGCTGCCCTGATGTCCGCCTCCTCTTAAACTCTTCATGGTAATTTTCTAAGAGCTGCTTATGCCTTTGCTATGGGGTATCCTGGTCCTGCCAGGAGGAAAAGGCAGCAGAGCATGGAGTTAGAGCTTTCCTGGTCACTTGTGCTAATGCCTGTCATGTCTGAGTTACATGGGTGCAGTGAGAGATGGTCACTTGTAGCTGGACTTGGGGGCATCAGTGCAGCTCCCATCCTGGCTTTCCCATGCACCATCAAGCATGGTGTGCGATGCCCCATGGCACTGCCTTGAGAATCAGGCATTATTGAAGTCTATGCATGGGTTGTGCTGACTTTGTAGCAACTTTGGAATAATGTTTGGGAAGTAAGGTAGAGAAAATGCAAAAGCTACTAGTGCTAGGAAGCCTGGACATCATTTTTCTAAAGCATTCTATACATGGTGCATATTGGACATGCAACTTCCTTCATGTACCCCTTCACCTTAACTGTGCTGAGTCAATGTCTTATCCTGACCTTGCACATCACATTGACATGTTTTGATCAGTGGGCTTTGGACTCTTGTGGATATTAGCAGTGTGCACAGTCTGCTGTGGATGATGGCACATATAGCATTTGTTTCCTGCAGATACCACCAGTGTACCTACATGTGGGGTAATTTGGTGGCCCTCTACCCCCACCATGCTTTGTGACCTCGGAAACCTGTGACCTTTCATTTGAGGTGACTCAGCCCAGCTCTAGAGCAGCAAGGCTGTTCAGATGGTGTGTGCTGCAAGAGGCTCGTCTGGGAGATGTGTCCTTCAGCCACACTGACTTGGGAAGGTACTAGGGGAAGGACATGCCTTTTCTGACTGGACCTGCACTTGGAGAAAGTGCAAATAGGCTGTAGAAGTGCTCATAAAGCAAATGTTTCTGCCGCTGCATTTGAAAGGATTTGTTCTGTCAGGTATTTGTTGATAGGCATGAGGCAGTTGTCCAGTATCTCAAATTTCAGAGTCCCAGGTCAAATGAGCTTGAAGACACTGGGGACCTTTACTTCTTTAGCCATGCTACAAAGCATAAGCTGGATACCAACTTTGCAAGATATTCCAGCACTTCAGATATTTCTTGAAGAAACTGGTTTGGGTTCTCAGATGTAAGCATGCCATAGGCCATTTCCTCAGGCTTTGTAGTAAATATCCCTAAATACTTTGATTATGGGTTTCTAACCCATAGGGCTTGGGGTTTGAATTAGACATCACAGAGCAGCTGAGTCATGGTGAACAGCACAGGTACTGCCGTGTCCTGCCTCTTTACAGGGGATGCAGGACCTGTCACTGTGGTGGCCCCCTGACAGCCAGTGCTGAAGCTGCAGCAGACAGTCCCATGGACTGGAAGGGGGAAACAGCAGCCAGGCCCTGCTGGGGGACCTTGCAGGTTTCTCTGCCTCTCACCCTGGGCTCTGTGCGTGATGCTTCGAATGACTGTGCTCACAAAGCTGTACCTGTAGATGTCTGTGTGATGAACTGTGCTCGTCTTTGTGGGTTGGGGCTGTGTTCTCCTTGTCTCCCCCATCTCTCAGCGAGGGAGCAGCCCTGCAAAGAGATGTATGTCCCTGCCAGCTGTGGGTACCACACTGGTGGAGTTAAAGGCCATGGCAGCAGCATGCTTGGTTGCTGGTGAGGATTAGTCCCCATCACTGGCGGCCACTGGCACACATGGCTGCCAACCCTCTCCTTGTCCTGCCTGATGGGGCTGCTAGTGCTCATCCCTGCCTCGACCTGCCCCACACATGCCGGCTCTGACCTGGGCTTCTCTGTCTTATTGCAGCTGGATGAGGAAGAGGAGAGGAGGAAAAGGCGCCGGGAGAAAAACAAAGTAGCAGCAGCACGATGTCGTAACAAGAAGAAGGAGAGGACGGAGTTCCTGCAGCGGGTGGGTGCCCTGACCTCTGCCAGGGCACAGCAGGGACCTTGGCAGGAGCACTTCCTTAGAAAGGTGCCCTAGCTGTGGGCAGCACTCCCTCCTGAACTACCCCCTTTTGCTCCTGTGCCCTTACTGCCAAAATACCAGCCCAGTGACCCCCTTTCCACAAGGCTGTGAATGTGGTGGCTAGGCAGAGCTTACAAGCATCCCTGTCTGTGCCCATGGTACCAGGGATGGATGGGGCTAAAGGTGGGCTCTGGGGCCTACCTTCAGAGGGCTAAAGGAGGGCTGATAGTGTCCCTGCATTAGGAGGAACACCCATGAGAGTGTGGGACAGGATAGGGGCTGACGTGCCCAAGTTCCTGAAGGTTTCCCCGTTAAGAGGCCAAATGTCATCTCACCTGTGACCCCAAGGCAGCAAAACTCTTGCAGCACCTCACTGCTTTTCTGCAAGGGGTGGTAGGACATGGGCAAATGACACACTGGAGGACAAGGACCCACTTCACAAGGGCAAATCCTTGCAGATGGGGAGTAAAAACTTAAACGAGGGTTTGTTTCCCAACCCTCTTCCAGACCATGGAAAGCACCCAGGCAGGGTTTTTGCTGTGGTGCAGCAAAGACCTGTCCTAGGAGATGGCTCTGTGTTTTTTTGTGGTAACACTGGTAATGCAAGACAGTGGGGATGAACTGCCTGCAGGACCTGTGCCTTTGCAGGTCCTCAGGCTGCTTCTGTGCTGCACGGGCTGAAGGACAGCACTGAGCAGAGATGGCTTGTTGGACAAATTGTTTCTCCTTCTGTCTTGAATTGTTTCTTCTTCTGTCTTGTCCTGTTGAAGTAAAGTCACATACGGTTGTGTTTCTGTCCTGCTAGGAGTCTGAGCGTCTGGAGCTCATGAATGCTGAGCTGAAGGCACAGATAGAAGAGCTGAAACAGGAGAGGCAGCAGCTGATCCTGATGCTGAACCGGCACCGTCCCACCTGCATCGTGCGGACAGACAGCATCAAGACGCCTGAGAGCGAAGCCAACCCACTGCTGGAGCAGCTAGAGAAGAAGTGAAGGTGGCACTGGGCCAGGAGGAGGAGACAGTGGCGCAGGGTATTCCAGGGTTTCTAATGTATGTACTGTATGAAGAACTGTGCACCCAGGCCTGGTGCAGCCAGTGCCCAGTGGGCTTCCTTGGGAACTATGGACCAAACAAATACGGGGACAGAGAAGATCAGGAACCTTCAACTATGTACTGTTGAGGCTGAACCAAGGAGCAGGGCTAGTGGCGCCGGTGAGGGCAACCTCCCTGTGATACCTCATCATGGCCCTTCAGCCTGCTCACGGCCCTCGGGACCCACAATGCCGCAGCACGTCCGGCGACGACCACATGCCCCGTGGGGAGAGGGCTGCGTGGTTCCCACCAGCTCTCTGCCCAGCGGCTGCTGCTGCTCCTGGCACACGCTCCGGAGGGAATCCCGCACCCAAGAACCACAAACACTTGATGCAGCCCCATGTGGTGGGCAGGCCTGTCGGGGCTCGGTGGCGCAGGCGCCCCCCGCAAGCACACTCAGTATAATGTTTACAGCCCAGCTGTCCATGTCGGCCGTGCTTTTGAATGCACATTTTTACACTTTTTTAAAGTATTTTTTACAAAGTTTTTATACAGCGATCTCTATATGGATTTATATAATCACTAGATGTGATCCCATAGAAATGTATGTTACGATGGTCTGTTTGTTACACATGCATATGCCACAGTTATCTCCATTGTGTTACTTGTCTGGTAGCATCTGGTTTCTCTCCCAGCATGCTGGGAAGGGGCTCCAAGCTGCCTTCTGCAGTGGTGTCGCTACCCTCTCCATCCATGTATGTCCTTCATAATATTCAGTTCTGTATCTCTCAGTAAATGTTACCTTTATGTATGTTGTCCTCCTGTGCTCTCTCCAGGTGAGGCCATGGTGGGCTCTGGCCAGAGCGTGGCACTGTGGCAGCATATGCCAGGTCTGACCAGGCTGAGTGCATTCCTGGCTGAGTGGGATGGTGGAGCTGATCCCTTTCTGGTAGTTCTCTGTAGTAGCAGCTATGGGCCAGGGGAATTCACCATGGGGAAGTTGGGAACCTTGGCGAAAGCTCTGTCAAGCAAGAAGTAGCTCAGTGCTGCACCAAAGAAGGCCTGCAGGGCATGGTTTGCCAGCTGGAAAGGCAGAGGTGTGAAACAGGGGCACCATCTCATCCTTACCTGGTCCTTGTTTGAAGTCTGAACACAGCAGCTTGAACTCCTTTGAGGAGATAGAGATGGGGGAGCTATCACAATGTCCTTGTGGTGGTGATCCCTTCATGGAAGAAGGTGGAGGACAGTTCCTTTGGGTCTCTGCTGGGTCCAAGCCTTGCCCCTAACTGATGTGCTGGGAGACCTCCTAAAGTTTCTCCTGGACTTCAGCCAGAGTTGAGCACAGGGGTGTGGAGGTTGAGAAGATAATCAGCCAGGTATGTTTCAGGTGCTGGGACTGAAAAGTTAACATCCCCATACAAATAACCAAGCCCTGACACTATTGCTGTGTTCCTGACTCTTAGATACGGAGGCAGTGAGAAGGTACCTTGATCTAGACCAAGCAGACCATATCTCAGCATCCACGGAGGGTTGTCTCAGAGGAGCAGTGGTGCATCCAGTCTTTTCTCAGGCGGTGTCCTACCCATTACTAGTGTGGATGAGGCTACTTAGATGCAAACTGCAAATGAAAGAAGCTTTCTGCGTCTGGTACAGGTGCACACTTGAGCCAGGAGCCCTGAAGCAGTGGTGGGGAGAAGATGAGCTTGACCTAAACGTGACAACAGCATGAGAGGAGGCCTTCCCTGAGCATGGCTGCTTCTCTAGTGCATGTTTCAATCTTTGTAGTCTCCTTTTCCAGCTGTTAACCTCCAGGGCTATACAACATTAGTCCTTTCCCTGTTTCATACTTCTTCCTGGAGTTCCTCTCCCTTTCCATAAATTCTGTTTTGGGGACCTCCCAGAATGCTGCCAGTAGCCTTATTTAGTGTGAAGCATGTTGGATGTGTTACAGACAGACTTTTTGCCCTGGGAGGGCTAGTTGTCTGAGGTGCTTGGAGGGATGTGCAAGGGCAGGACCTGAAGCAAAGCTGGTGGAGAAAGGCAGTGTCTGGCCTGGCTTCCACTGCCCGCTGGCCAGCTGTCCCTCTGTACTTCCTTCTGCCCAGACACTACAGTGGTGGCTCAGACCCATTTCTCAGCTGCTAGCTGGAGCCAATCATTATGCATAGAGGAACACAATGTCTCTCACCGAGCTCTGCTGGAAGGACACAGAGCACTTGCTGGGCCTGCTCCTCTCTTCAGGAGCTTTATTTCTCTCTGCAGAATATATGTGGTAGTGAATTCCTGGGCTCCTGAAAGTGTCAGTTTCCTCTTGGGTGGTCAGTGGGAGCTCTGCATGGTGTGTCAGAGGATCCAGCAACAGGCATCTCATGCTTTTTGCTCATCTGGGGAGCCTGTGCACTCATCTCCACCAGCCACACACCTTCCAGCAGCACTGGTTGTGCTTGCATGGCCCTTCTCTGGCAAACGGCCACACTGCAGTAAAACTTCCTGCTGTGAAAACAGCTGGCTTGCAAGAGAAATATAAGGTGCCCTTTGAAACCAAGCATCGATTTAATGCTCAGGTACTCTAGCCAAGGCTTATGCAGGCAGTATGCAAGTCCCAGCAGTGCCCAGATGGGTTTTTGCCTAGTCTCCTATATATCCTCCAAACAGCCTCCTTCTGCATTCCAGTCAGTACCAAGAGGTTTGCCACTCAGTTTGGGAGATTTCTTTTCAGGGGACTTGGTTAGTTTAAGACCCAATGAAGTTAAAGTAGAGGGATTAAAGCAGTTAAGGCCTCTGTCTCATAAGTCACAACCTGAGAGTGTTGAATGGAAAAGGCTCCCATCTCTGCACAGCCCTGGGCTGAAAACTCCTCCTGGTACCTGTAGGAGACAGGCTATTTGATATTCCTGACTCTTACCGTGTGTCCTCGCCAACCCTCCCTTAGCAGAGGTACAAATATTGCCATGTGACCCAGGGACACCTTTCAGGCTGCTGCATTACAGTGGCATCTCCTGGGCAAGGACAGGAGCAGTGGGCATGTGCCAGGCACAGCCCATGTTGCTATGTGTCAGAAGGGTGCTCCCAAACCCAAAGAGCAATTGTTGTACCTGTGGCCACGTCCATCCACCTGGGTCTCCTTCTGGTAACGTGGACTAGCTTGGACAATGCAAGGGACACAAAACCACAAGGGAAGAAGCCCAGCAGCCTCCTGGCCTGTATCAGCAATAGCGTGGCCAGCAGGGCCAGGGCAGTGATCATCCCCCTGTACTTGCACTGGTGAGGCTGCACCTCAAATCCTGTGTTCAGTTCTGGACCCCTCACTACAAGAGAGATACTGAGGTGCTGGAGCGGGTCCAGAAAAGGGCAACAAAGCTGGTGAAGGGTCTGGAGCACAAGTGTGGTGAGGAATGGCTGAGGGAACTGGGGTTATTTAGTCTGGAGAAGTGAGGGCTCAAGGGGGACATTATTGCTCTCAACAGCCACCTGAAAGGAGGATGGAGCCAGGAGGTGGCTGATCTTCTCCCAAGTCACAAGAGACAACAGCCTCAAGCTTCACCAGGGGAGGTTTAGGTCTGATACTGGGAAAATTTCTTCACTGAAAGGCTGCCAAGGGAAGTGGTGGAATCACCCTCCCTGGAAGCGTTCAGAAGCCGTGTAGATGCTCTCACTGACAAGGTTTAGTGGTGGACTTGGCAGTCCTAGGGTAAAGGTTGGACTTGATGATCTTACAGGTGTTTTCCAACCTAGCTGATTCTATGGCATCTCTCAAAGGTCATCCAGCCACCTCTTGGCCATCCCACGCCCGCACATCCTGTGCAGGGTGTACTGAAGGCCACGACCACTGCAGAGCTGCGGGTATCACGGCCTTCGGCTCGGTGCCAGTGGTGCTGGAGCTGATCGTCTGACGGACGTGAGGCTGCTGCCAGCCCCACGTGCCCCGCGGCAGCCAGCCGTGAGGCCGAGCCCCTGTTCCCGACGAGCACACCCGCCTGTCCGCAGGCTTGAGGGCCCTCTGAGGGCGGCGGTGGCGGAAGCCCATCCCGCCGGCAGGGGGAGCTGCGCGGCCGCGGGAGCAGAGGGGCCGGGCCGGTGCGCCGTCTGCCGGCGGGAGCGGGACTAAGCCGCGGGGGCCGGAGCCGGTGGGTGCTCCTCCGGGCTGAGCCGCAGTTGCGGCCCTTTCACCGCCCGGGCACCGGGCACCAAGGGCTGGAGCACCTCTCCTGTGGAGACAGGCTGAGAGAGCTGGGCTTGTTCAGCCCCGGGAATAGAAGGCTCCAAGGAGACCTTAGAGCAGCTTCAGTGCCTAAAGGGGGCAACAAGAAATCTGGAAAGGGACTTTTTAAGAGAGCATTGTAGGGATAAGACAAGAGGCAACTGTTTTAAACTGAAATAGGGCAGATATAGATTGGATATAAGGAAGAAGTTCTTTACTGTGAGTGTGGTGGGGCACTGGAACAGATTGCTAAAGTTGTGGCTGCCCCATCCCTGACAGGGTTCAAGGCTGGGTTGGACGGGGCTTTGAGCAATCTGGTGTAGTGGAAGGTGCCCCTGCCCACAGCAAAGAGGTAGAACTAGGTGATCATTAAGGTTCCTTCCAACCCAAACCATTCTATAGTTGTGGTGCCATCCCATGATGTCAGATGGTTCTTGTCAGAGATGTGAGCCATTTCCCAGCCATTTCATCTGCAGGCCCCTCTGCTTTGCAGGGTACCTGAGGTGGCTTGACAACAAGAACCACCAGCAGTAACTCCCAGGGTGCCACCAGCCCCCTCTTGCACATGCTCAGCTCCTGTTTCGTGAGATCCTCATTCAGGATCCTTCCTACACTCATCAGTTCAGGCAGGAGCTTTCCCCAGGGCATGATACCGCATTTTTTCCTGAAGCCCAGGCAGATGAGTCCCATCACATTTCCATTGCTTAGATGCTTATCCCAGTTCCCTGATGTCCTTTCCGTATTACTCCTGTGCAAAAGCCACTCCCATGTATTCTTCCCCAGGGAAATTTGGGTGCCACCTTGCCCCAAAACACCAGGCCAGAGGCAGTGCTGGGGTGATGGGCTGGGGGTCCAGATACTGTAGTTTGGTGTGAGTGCTCCACACTCCATGCCTGACTTCCTTTTTCCCATCAGACTCCTGGCAAGTGGCATGGCCCATGGGCAGCAGGAACCCAGTTTCCCCACAAGGATCTCAGTCTTGCCAGCTCCTCACCCCTGTCTCCTGCAACCAGCTCATCCCAGAGTGGTTAAGCAGCCCATTGTGCTCCCCAAAGCTTAGCTATGGCTCCTTTCCTCCTCCTTCCCACTCACTGCTCCATGTCCCCCCCACTGTGTGCTGCCCTGGGTGCAAGGGCATCCAGCCCCCCCGTCCTGTGGTTCATCATGGGCAAAGGATGCTTGGAGGCCGTTACTCTGCAGCTTTTCATGGTATTGTTCTCACTTTGTGTTTGCCCTTCTCAGTAGGGGCTGAAGGGACTCCGTGACACTGTGGTAAGAAGTATTAATTAACCTTTGACAGTGACCTACCTCTCTTGTTTCATTTTGAGCCAAGGGCAGCAGGTAATCATTTATCTTTGTCCTCATTGGTTCTTCTACTCCACTTAATGGAAAACAAGCCCCAAAAATCCCCAGCCTTGATATTTATCAAGAGATATGGAAACTTCTTTGATTACCGTGGATGCCAGCCTGCACTGAGTGGCACTGGCCCATGCCTGGGCAGCAGGACCGAAACCTGGCTATACTGCCAGGATGATTGTAGAGGAATGAGGAAAACCAAACACTGCTTCCCTCAGCCTGGAAATATCATCTGGCTCCCCCCACCTTTGTGC